TGTTTTGGCTTGATTTATACCAAGTCACCACTTGGCATCTAATTGTGGCTCTTCAGTGTCGCTCAAATCTATATACTTTCACAGTGTCATCCCTCCTGTCATTTTATCTGAAATCACTCATTCTAGAAGACACCACGGTGCTTATGTAATGGTGCTAACGTAGGGAAGTAGCAGGCGTGGAGAGTTTACCCCTCACAAACGTGAGAGAGCCCAGTTTTGCTGTGGAATTTCAGGTTTGGGGCTTGTGTGACATGAGCTGTTGCAGCACCAACAGCAGAGGCTGTGAGACTTGCCTCTGAAGAGACCACCCTGTGGTGTGTGCAGGGCCTTTAGGTGCAGTCAGAGAGACTCATTGGAAGCTATTTTGGTAACAAGCTATGGAAGGATGAGGTCTTGGATCAAGGCAGTGGTAATGCGATGGATTTAAGAGCAATTCTGGTGGCAAGATCAGTAATCTGTCATTTCTTCTCCGCCCATGCCTGGGAGTGGTGTGGTGTGGGTGGGTGAGTTAGAAAATAGAGGAGAAGTGGGTTAAGTGGGGAGGCTCAGGGTGGGTATCGTGGACTTAGAAGTACCTCAGGGACATCAAAGGGGAGATGCTGAGTTGATCCTTGGATACCCAGTTCTAGAACACAGGAAGGATACAGCAGGGCTCTTTGTCAATCAGTGGTGAGCCATCAGCATCGAGGTGGTGACTGAAACAACGTGGAGGAGATAGTCCAGGGAGAGGACATGGAGATGAAAGAAGCTGGAGGGAGGAAACCTGAAAACTCCCGCAACAAAGAATGAGAAAGAGAAGTTCCAGCCAGAGGAGGAAAACCGGGAAAGAGGAGGGAGCGATCTGCAGTGCCAGGTGCTGACCGGAGGTCAAGTAATATGTGACCTGGCCTCCAGGCCCTTCCTGATGACCCCAGTAACTGCTGCAATGGGAGGTTCAGCCATGTGGCAGATGGCAGTGGTCTCAGAGAGTAGAGGAGGTGGGATCCGGCAGAGTCCATGTACTGGCAAGAAGGCTGACGGACAGCTTGATGGCAGCAGCACTGTCTGGGCACCTCCTCTGTGCCAGGCAACCTCTTCTTATCAATCATCTAAATGACATTTAGAAGTTGAGGGGAAAGCCACACGGCAAAAGAATGCACGGTGCCAGCCCTGGGAACGGTACAGCCTAGTGGGGATGCTTGCAGGGAAGCAGGGCATTGCGTTGCCACGCTGATGTGGCAAAGTCACGGGGCCACCCTGGCTGCCTTCCGGTCCCCATCCACACCGGTCTCCTCGCTGCCTGGTTTCCTTGTCTGTGAAACAGAACTTTGAGAGTGAGAGGATGAACTGATGGGAGAAAGGTGGAGCTCCAGCGGGTGTGCTGCTGGCCCGGACGCTCCGGGGTGGCCACAGGCTGTTCCTGTCCTCACATAGTGCGAAGGAATAGAAACAAGTGGACGCAGATGCTGGGCATTAGGTCAGGGTTTAACGAAGTCTTGTTTGGGAGCTCACTGAGAGCCCTGTTTTGTTTAATGAAAAGGTGCCATTCGTCTTCTATCCAGTAGAAAATTAAAAATTTGTGGAGAAAGTAAATGTATAACTCACTTTTTGTTGTTTAAGTTCTTAAACTTCTTTTTCTTTTTTTTGGACCGGTAAGGGGATCTGAACCTGCAGCTTCGGCGCTACTAGTGCCGCACTCTCCCGAGTGAGCCAAGGGGCCGGCCCCTTAAACATCTTTTTGAATGAAGCTTGGAAGTACATATGTGAAAGTGTACATAGGCTTTAAAAACTATCACAAAATCATTTTTAGGTCAAGAAGGGGCCATTTCCCGCCCCCAGAAACCCCTCCCAGGCACGGCCCACCTTCCCCCCTGCAGACGGGCACCATCATGACTTGACTGGGCTTGCTTGCCTTTGAAAATTTATGCAGTGTAATTATGTATGATTGAAGGGGGTAATTAAAGTGTGTCTTTTATCTGTTATCCAAAAAAACTTTTAAATGGTAACAACACTGAGCACTGCTATTGAAATATGAGGTTAATTAAATTGGTGGTGTCAGTGGTAAAAGAGAAAGCATTAGCAGTACCTCTGATGACACCATTGTAGATTTAGGCACAGCTCATGTGGTGTATTCATAGCAAAGTATGTCATCACATCGTAATGATAAGATTCCAGATTCTTTGAAGTGAGTTGAAGTCGTTGCATTTCTGATACATACACACTCACATTAAACATATGTGAGTTTACATGGGTATTAACATAAAATACGTAACAAATTCATTTGTTGAATGATCAAATATAGATAAAATCTCAATGGTAATAAAAAGTGCCCAGCCAGCATAGTCTGGGGTAACAGTCATGTTTTAAACCTATTGACATTTAAAAATGGTTTTCAATAAACAGGTACTTAATGATAATAGGTACAGAAGAACCGCTCCCTCCCTGCCCGTGGTGTTCTATTTCCTTTGAGGTGTTTTTAGGGAGAGTTGAGCCAGACTTCCGCAGCGTCACGTGAGCGATGGCTGCCAGTCTTGTCTTGGATGACAGTTGTCACTGTCGGTTTTGCTCACCCAAACAGTTCATTTAGGAACCTCTTTTAGTGAGGCACCCAGAGACACCACCCTGTCCCTGGCGCAGCGACTCAGCCGTATTTTTCTGACGGAGGAGGATGGCTCTGCTTTACCAAAATCTTCACTTTCTCTCTGTGCTCCTCGGCCTCCGGCTAAGTCAGGTGCCGTCTGTTCTTCATAAGTTTCCCCCTGTTTTTATGGGCTATTTTATAGTCCTAACGTAATATGTATAATTTTAGAACAAAATATTTGTAAATTGTTTTCATTCCTTCATTTGTATATGGGGTAGGAACGACATAGAAATTATGGTAGATGGGGAAATAGGACAAAGAGAACCAAAAAAAAGGTAGTAAAGCAAAAAAGAAAAATAATGCTACCAGTCACAACGATGTTGTGAATTCATTATTTTTGGCGGGGGTGGGGGGTGGGATCTATGTGGTAGAACAATAATTATATAGACAGGAGAATTTTCGTACTTAACATGTGGCCATAGTTTGGTGACAGGCTTTATTGTAAAGAGGGTCTCTTTACTCGTGAACTTGCTCTTTCTAGCCTCCCAGCAGGAAGGATGGGACAGTCATTTGTATTTGAAGTTTCATACAGTGTGAATGTTCTAATAAAATATTTGACTTAGAAAGTTTCTGCGTCTTAGAAAATTTCTCAGATCTTCCCTTAGCATGAACACATTTGTAGAGAACGTCTACCAAGCTCTCAACACATGCATTCTAGCCCTGTTCACTTCCGACATTGGTTCATCCCTTATGAGTTTAAACATTAAAGGCAGTGTGGTCATCCTGCTGAATGGTGACCCTGAGGCTGACAGTAAAGTCAAAGTGCAGTATACCTGATAATCAAGAACCCTTTTTTGCTATTTTCAAAATGAAAATAAGTGAGCAATCATGATATTAGGTTATTTACTTTTGGTCTATGGAATTTTAGTGTGCCTACATGACACACGGTTAGCAGCTCTTGGAATCTGGTCTTAGATTTTATTTTTGAGTTCACATAATGATTTTTAAAATATTCTAACATACGTCTTCAAAGACCCCAGATCAATATGCCAATGGTTTTGAAGTGACAGAGTGCTGCGATATTCCTCTGTAATTTAAACATGATTAGCTGATGATGGTTATGATCAATACACCACTGGAAGGTAAATTAATTGATACCATCCTTTCAGGATGAGAAGAGGCCTCATGGAGGTGGGATCTAACTAATGAAGCTGCTTCCTCATGTCTGAGCCATTTTTTATATTTTGCAATTTCACTTAATCATATTTATACTATTATTCATTTACATGAAAACCATAAGCTGTGGACAAACCAGTTCCTTATTAAAATTGTAGTCATTTGGAAAAGAAATTATCTACAAACGTGGCATGGGCCCCTTCTGTGTGATAATCTATTTCTGGGGAAAGACGGTGTTCCTTTACATGGACATCTTTGAAAATAGCAACTATCAGGGCCAAGACAGGGATTGAATATCATTGAACTTAATTACCGCTAGTCTCCAGAGACACTCATCTATCCGAATAAAAACTAGTTATTCTGCTATAGTGACACCTATTGGTGTAGGAAGAGTTTTCTACTCGTTGACTTCCTTTCCAATTAAATTCAGTATGCTTTATCAGCGAGCCTGTTTGCCAAGAGAAGTTATGGCTGGTTGAATTCAGATTTGTGTTGATTAAGATAAACTTTCAATGTGTGTAGTAATATATTTAAATGAAAAAAGGTCTTTGATATAATTATATGTCCTTGAATAAGATTCTGCATGGTGGCTTGTAGAGTTAAGAGGAATTCTTTAGGCTATACAAAAAGCAAAAGAAGATTTTTGGCTTTCAAAGGTATTGGTTCATTTGCCCTGCCTCATATAGGATTAATTTTGCTCCAAGTAGCTGGAAAAAATTATTTTATTAGTAGAACTTAGACGAGGTAGGTGTGTCTTTTGTTTGCCATTTGAGTGCTCTGAGGCGGTGTGTGCAGTGCTACCGAGGCCTTCTGTGTTGTCAGAGGGCTGTTTCTCTATCTCCTATCACACCAAGTATGTCTTCCATTTCCAGCGTCACCTCGTGGTTCCAGATGGCTGCTGGGGATTCAGACAACATATGCACATTTCATGCAGCAAGTAGGAAAAAGACATAAGGAAGGAAGGGACAAAGGGTAGCTGCTCTCAAGGAAAATTCCTGAAAGCTGCCGCAGGATCCTTCTCTTGTCACGTCAGCCAGAGCTTGCTCACGTGGCCACTGTTAGCTGGGGTGGGTGTGGGGGAATGGGAGGAAACTCTGGGAAATGCAGTATTTATTCGGGTAGTCATGTACCCAACTGAAAATCAGGAATTCTACTACTGTGGAGGAAGGGAATACGGATTTCCAGGACGACCAATGGTCTCTGCTGTGATTTTTATATTTGGGAACCAGCTTCACATGCTTTCTTTTGTCTCTGTGTCCACTAGTTGCCCAGAAGATAGTTGCCACAAGGAAGAAACAGCAGCTGTCCATAGGACCCTGCAAGTCTTTACCCAACTCCCCAAGCCACTCCTCTGTGTGTTCGGCCCAGGTGTCCGCCGTGCACATTAGCCAGGTACGTCAGGCAGCACGAGAAGGTGGACCAAAAGGTGCGTTAGAACCAAGGAAGGCATGCAAACGTCCATTTTTTTTTTTCTCTTCACTTTTATAAATAACAGTGTGTTTGTAATTGACTTAACTTTTCCTTCTGAAACTGCTGTGGCCAAGTGGTTTTTATGGGAGCCGTTCTTTAATGCCTCTTGTCTTCATGCCACCTGTGTCATGAGGCATGCTGGCATGGTGGTGGCGCAAGGCGTGTGCCACCGTCTGCACTGTTGATTTCAATCACCCTGCTCTGGTACTGGTCCTGGTACCCTTGTAGGTAGAGCAGTTGTGAGTAAACCTTAATGGCTAATCCCACTATGTGCTCAAATTTGGTAGCAGCATTCAATTATAATTATCATCTCCCGCAGGTCCTATAGAAACTGCTATCTTTCCATAACAACATTTTGCTAAATTATTTACTTGGAAGCAAACGAAATAATTGTCACTGAGAAGAACCCAACCAAATGCAAATGCCTGTTCAGGAAACTGTTGGCTTTGATTTGTCTGTACTTGTTTTTTGATTAACATATCTTAGGCAGGTAATCTTTTGGCACTTTTTTTTTTAAGGATGCAGTGAGAAGGTTTGGTATCATGCTTTCAGTTTTGCTTCTGAAGTCAGTAAGTTACTGCATATACTGTAAGGGTCTGTGAAGTTATAGTCAAAACGTTAATGTCTTCACCGTTGATATCTTCAATTTATTTTAATTTTAGAAATATTTTCTAAAAGCACTCAGATTTTCAAGGTGTTGTTTTCAGAAAGTTAGTCGTGATTCTACTGCACAGACCAGTCCACTTTCTGCATCTGATCTAGAGCCGGGAAGGAGCCACAAAATCCATTTCATTTAACCAACTCCTTGGTTTTTCAGAGGAAATGCAAAATAATTACATTTTAACTCTCAAAAATTTTTTTAGGCTAAATGTAGAAGCTTGTTTTCTTAAGTCACTTTTCTTAGACGAAACAGCTCTATGAGGTGGTCGGCATATTCTAGAATGAGACTGTGCATACTTGGTACTGATAGGACTGGGAAAGGCAGAGAAGCTGCCAGCCTTTCTCACGCGCATCTCTTCAGTGTGATTTTCCAACGTGTTGGTTATGCCTCCACTTCAGTGGTGGCTTTGGGTTCCTGGAGTGTGGCTTTAATAAAACCTTGGTTTTTAATCGTTACAGACAAGTAATGGAGGGGGCAGTTTAAGCGACTATTCCTCCTCCGTTCCATCGACTCCAAGCACCAGCCAGAAAGAACTGCGGATTGACGTCCCTCCCACCGCCAACACACCAACACCCGTCCGAAAGCAGTCCAAGCGCCGGTCCAACCTTTTCACCGTGAGTACCCACCTTGGGTAGAAATTTGAGTGTCATATCAAAGAGGTGCCGTTAATATTAACCTAGTTGCCAGGTGGTTCAGTGGTATTTGTAGAATCCAAACTAAATCAATGAGAATAGCATAGATTTCTGTGGAAGTCTTAAGAAAATTATGAGAAGCAAAGATTTAGAGATTTAGTAGAATGGGAATTTCCCAGTTTGGGCAAATACCAATACATGCGTCACGAGTGAAGAGTGAAGGGTTTGTATGAACAGGTTTATTATCCTGTGACTTCCATACTCTGTAGCCAAAGACTTGTCGCATTGGGTATGAAGAGATGACAGAACTCTGCTGGAATTCCCAAATGTGTGCATAACTCTTCAGATGAGCTACCTAAGCCCTTCCCGTCCCAGGCCCCCTTCTGCTCACGTGGAGGTGGGGCTGGAAGGCGGTTGGCTGTGGCTTTCAGCACCACAGGCCTCAAGGGATTTGGGAGCCTCATTGGCATGAAGACTGTATACCTGGGTTTTCTTCAGAGTCCATCTGTGGAACATGTTAAAACTGGAGATCACATATCTCGGCTTAGATTTATAAACTCAATCTGTGGACGGGGCCCAGGCCAACATCTGGAGAAACTTTGGTTCGTCACAACAGGGGGATGGGGGTGGACGGGTAGGGTACTGCAGGCATCTAGTCATAGGTGGCAACCAGGGATGTTGCTAAACATCCTACAGTGCTGCTGGCTGTTCGACTTTAGGGTAGTTACTTAACCTCTCTGAGCTGGAAACAATAGTACTTTGCAGTGGGGCTGTTGGGAAGACTCCCTACAGGAGGCAGAAGATTCTTTGTGGCATTGCTTCCCCCCACCCCCACCCCCACCGTTATTGATGTTGTGAAAATGATGTCTCATAGCGTTGAGCAAACGTAGTTGTAAGATTGCTTGATAAACTGGGAGGTAGGTATTTAGGTTTCTGCAAGATGCAGGTGAGTATGTGATATGTTTAAATTTGGACGCAAATACTATGTTGTAGTGTGAAATTTCATTAGACACGCAGAGAATAACAGCAGTCATCTCAACATCTATTTCCCGGCTCTCTCAAACTACTGTGACCCTTCTCTACACCCAGGTTGGAGTCTCCTGGTTGAGAAGGTGTGTGCACTCAATCAGGACTCAGTGGGCTTGTGAAACCAATCTCCAAAGATGTAAAGGGATGCAGAGAGGGTGGGTGTGGGCAGGCCGCTGCTCAGCTGGAGGAGGGAGGCCTGGATAATGTGGTGGATGAGAATGTCTTCTGCATCTTTGCTGCACCTGTTAGGGAGTGGGGGGGGGGAGCACCCACGCCCATGACACCTTCCAAGGGCCATGTTTATTGCTCATTGACTTTGGTTTTCATTCTAAGGAAAGAAATATAAACCCAGGAAGTATCTTTAAAAGGGGGGTTATCTATAAGGACACCCAGTATGTTCTTGTCCCCGTGCTTTATAAGGGCAGCTCTGGAAGTGGACTATGCCAGAAAATAGTATCAGAAAATAGACCCTGCCCACTTGGTAACTGACAACCCAGGTGGCTTACAGAGGAGAACATTTTATTTAAGGCAGGAAGAATCAAAATAATATCTCAATTAGTAAATACTTACCATCTGCTCTCTGCAGAGCCCTGTTTTTGCTGTGTCTAGGAGGAATACTTGTTGTAGAATTGACCCCTATGCTAGGGAAAGTGGTGCATAATGTAAGGAGAGGGGGATGTGCATACCAAGAAGAGAGGAGAGAACTGGGCAGTTAAGGGGTCATCTTCCCATTTACTCAAGCCACGCGCACACACACACACACACACACAAAGAGGCCAGGAAGCCACAGTTGTCCGGCCAGGCGGGGCAGGAGCCCATAAAAGTTTGTTGTTATGGTGACTGAAAAGCACCATTAATTATGTCATAATTAACTTATAATATAATGGCCTGCCTGTGAATCTGTGTGCTATCAGTGTTTGTTCTCTTTCTCTTTAAGGGTGGAAAACAATTTGAGAGTAAACCATCTTAGAAATTGAATCCAGCTGCCCAACTATTATTAGTGGGAACAGAAATTTGGGGTCACGAAAGAAGCTAACACTACAATAGGTTTGCATCATGGCATTTAAGAAAGAGGTGGCTAAATTCCCAGGCAGGGGCCTGTATTTCCGTCATCACTGGGTTTGGCATTGAGCAAATTGATGGTGTGAGGTGTGAGTATTTTTAAGTTGAAGATCTTGGAAATATTAAGTCCACTAGATGTCAGTGTCATCCAAGGAATGAAAAGATAGCAAATTAATTTTGAAATCGAAGTATTAAGAAACTCCTATTCTTACCAGTTTGCTCCTATTCTTTAATGTGTAAAATTTCATAGACTCTTCATCCCTGACGGTTGTTGGTAGTTATTAGCTTATTGTCAAAATGTATATTTACTTAGAAGTGTCTAGTAGGAGGACAGATGTGCCATATGTGAGTAATCTTTGAAAAAAAATTCATGCAGACTGGGACTGTAGTATCCAAGTGGAGGGCACTGTCCCCCGTGTCCATGAGACCATCATAAAGAAGCCACAGTTATTAACTAGTACACACATCACTTTTCAAATCCCATTCTTATGCATTTTATGAAGCAGAACCATGACGTACCACTCTGAGCTAACATTTTGTACTCCCAGATGGTCTGTTTGCATATATACACATTTTTAAACAGAAATAAATCACATGCACTTTTTACAAAATAGCACCAACTTAAAGTCTCTGTAAATAGTAGCAAGTTATGTTATTTTTGCAGAAGGAATTATATTTTACTAATCACAAGACGAATTATATCTTATTTCACTTATTTCTTTGAAAAATCATTGTGTTTTGAGAAGACAAATATTAGAAGACTATATCCATTTAATCCCTGATTTTGTAATACAGGTTCTTAAAACAACTAATATAGTTTAGTAGCACTAATTTACATGTGGGTAAAATATTTTGTTAGGAAATATTTTTAAACATCCAGGAATAAAAAATACTTACATACTCACCATGCAGCTCATCAAATTCAAGCATTCTTCTGCCACTGCTGCTTCCACTTCTGCAAGAAACCAGCAAATCAGAATTGAAAGTTTAAGTCCTATGTGTTTATCTTCCAAATACGTTCTGCTGCCGCTCTGTCCAGGGATCAGCATTAACCTGAATTTGGCACGTATTATCTATACCCATATTTTAAACTTACTGTAGTATGTGTCCTTAAATTGTACATTCCATTGGTTTCCCTATTGTCAAGCTTTATGATAATGGTATCATTTACATCATATTTTTTAAAAGCTTAGCGTATAATGCTGATGCCATTAAACAAAGCCAAGCATACCCAGTAACCAAAGGTTGTGAACAGGCATTGCTCAACTCATAGAAACTTGCTATAGAAATAAGGCAGCAAAATTCACAGTATAAGTAGAATGGTTAGGATGGTATTTTGTCTTTTAGTAAGAATGAAAGCCTGGATGCCTATGATAGTGTGGTCCAGCAGCCTGTGGACTGGTTAAGGGGAAAAGCAGGTTTCTGTTGGACAGTGAGGGCTCCTGCTCTATCTCTTCTTGCTTCTGTCCCTCTAAGCAGGTAGCTAAAAGGGTGCTCCTTTATGGCTTCTTTCATCCTGAGAGAAGATAAACATTTTTCTAAAGAAGCAGATGATAATTAGATGATCTTAAACTTCCTTTATTCTGCGTTTGTGGAGGCTAAGCAGTCACTATTGTGGCTTGCTGTTCATTGACTTGAAACCTCCACACTTCCTGTGACGGTGAGATAGACTGGTTACGTTCTGAGCTGTGTGCCACGGGCCAGTGCAGCGGTCACCCCTGACACGGTGGGTGCTGAGGGCTGTTTTGCATCTGATGGTGGCATAGAGCCATTTTAGCAATAATGGGAGGAGGTGTCATTGCTGATGTCCTCTCTAAAGTTGGCAGAAAAATAAGGAGGCCTTCCTGGGAAGTTATACGTGCTGCAGTGTTTTATGGCCAGTGGATTTGTTTTAGTTTAGTTGATGGATTTTGATTTTATGGATACAGTCTGTTGTAGACAAAATAATTGTGGGGCTCAGTTACAACAAACCCTTTCGCCTAACAGCTCGCCACTGTCTTTCCTTAGAATTTGAGTTTTATGACTGTTTCCACCAAAATGTTGTCCAAAATTTTTTTATTTTAATTTTGCAGTGAAGTCTTACATGTTAGTCTCATTCATCTCAGAGTGCGATTCAATATTGAGTTTAGTTCTCCACAGTTTGTATTTCAGGGTGTTTTACAGCAATACAGTGGGCCATTTCTTCCTGCTTCCCGTGGAATCTGAAATTCTGCTCTGAGAACAGGGTGACTGGGGACAGATGTGCTGCCTTGAGGAAGATGTTAATTTTTTTTATGTTTGTTTTGTTAATTATTCTGGTTAATAGAGAATAATGAAGATGGATTTCCGAATTTAGAAATTTAGAAATTATAAAAATCCCAGAGTACTGTTCTTTATCAGTTTAAAATTTTTTAAAATGTTATCACCATGAGCTTTGAAATTTATGTTGCAACTAGAAACTTCCAGTGCCAGCCTTCCCATGAATCGAGATGTGGATAAAAGATAATGTAAGGCTATCGTAGGGCTCTCACTATACTTTATTTATTTAAGAGTTAATTCATTGAAGAGAAAAGTGAGCCCCCAAATCCTAGCCAAAATTTATGACAAGGGATTGATATGTATCTATTTCCCACCTCGCCCAGAGTGATAAACCTTATGTTTTATATTTGTTGCATCTTTCTATTTGTTGCTTGTTTCATTTCCTGTCTTCCCATTCCAGGCTTCTACCATCCCAAAGTAACAAACAGGGCACAGTGCCTGCACACAGTAGGTGCTGAATAAACGTCAGCGCTTCTAGCCATTGAAGAAGTGTGTTTTCCAATGAACACATCTGCTTGGGAGAACACCCTTTGAAGTGCTAGATCTGAGTTTACATTATGGGTACTCTTCTCCTTATCCGCCCCCTCCTTAATTTTGGCAGTAGCCTCTCCTGGAATCTTAAACGCATCCCATCAGCGCTTGTTTTTATTATGTCCCGTGACATTGCCCCTTTTAATATATAGTTTTTAAAAATCAGCTGCTCCATCTCCCACCCCTTCGAATCTGGATTTCATTAGCTTTTCACTGCAGCGCTGGACACCACAAAGTCTGTTCCTTTCATATATCATCTCAGATTTGAAAAGCACATGAAAATGTTTCCCATTTTCAATATTGCGTGAGTAATGTTCCCATTGAAAAGTAATGGAGTGAAGTTGTCACTTGTCAGCACAGTTATTAAGGAGGACGAGTCTCAGATCTTTCTCTCATAATAAAATAAATCTGTCAGAAAATCATTGTGCTCACGCTTTCTCATGCCATCAAGAGATGGAGACTTAGGCTCTGGAGTGCCTTCAGTTTTCCCCAAAGTCAAGGTGTGCTTTAGATGGCGGCATCCCTGGGTTAAACACTGCCACCCTCCCTGCCGACTGCCGGCTACTGCGTAGTTCACACCCCGTCAACAGTCAGTACGTCCAAGATAATTGTTTCAGGAACTTGGCAAACAAAGCTACTCATTATTCATCAAATGCTGACTTTTTTTTGAAAGGCTGTTTGCAGGTTTTCCCCTTTATTATTTTCGGTGGTATTGTGCCCTGGTCTAACTTTGCATTTGCTGTTTTCAACCATCCGGAAGCTATGAAAGGAGACATTAACTGCACCTTGATACTAATCAAGGGGTACCGCTAAATTGCACAGCTGACTAGCTAATAGAATTTTTTAAATCATTCGGAATTAATTAAATATATACATTTATGTAGTCGGTTTTCTAAATAAGCAGCGAGGAGCCCTTTCCTCCTCAGCTCCATTAACTGAAGCTTTAGAATGTATTTTCCTGTTGGGCGTTACTTTCCTATATGGTCCATTGGTTTCTAGTAATTGAATTTTGAACTTTTGAAAAAAGAATTAAAAGATAATTTTGCAGTAGGAACGTCGGAGGAAAAGTTTAGAAAATTCTCTTTAAAGTGATGATTCAGTGGCCCTGAATGACTCTACGGTCTGCTTCTGTGGGGGTGTGTGTACACATTCCTGTCACACACGGTTTCTAAATATGTATTGGCAGGAACTGTGCAAATCAGAGCAGAGCCCCCGGCTGCGAACCCCAGCCCTTCCCCAAATGCTAACTTTGCTTTTGCTTTGCAGTCTCGGAAAGGGAGCGACCCAGACAAAGAGAAGAAAGGCCTGGAGAGCCGTGCGGACAGCATCGGGAGCGGGCGAGCCATCCCAATTAAACAGGTACGTGCTTCTTCCTCCCCGTCCCCATCGCCAGAGACACACCTCGGTCCTCCTTGAGACGATGCTGGCCCGTGCGCCCAGGTTTGTTTGATGTGCTCTGTTGATGAATGCAGAAGTCACTCACTTGACATCAATTAGAAGAGGTTCCTGTGTGTATTAAAATGGGATCATTAGAATAAGCAGAGGGAAACGTGACAACAGGTCTAATGAAGTGCAGTCTGCCCGCCTGTGCACGAGTGTGTTGCGCGGCCGAGCGGGCTTCAAAGCTGCCTTTGTAGCATGGCTTTGATTGGGCTGCTGGCCAACGGTCGACAGGGTAAATCCGATCGCTGCACAAGAGCCCCTTGTGATCACAGGAATCGCCCGACGTGGCCCTAATTTGCTCTCGCAGACGGACATCTGAACACCGTTTCAGGCTGGTTTGTAACAACGAGGCAATTAGTTGTGATAATCATAGCCCGTGCGTCAGCTGTGCGCTCTTGTTTGTAATTTGCTAATGAAGGAATTGTAACTTTGATTAGGTTCAGTTTCATTTAGACCTTATTATATAAAGGAACATTTACAGCTGTAATGTGGGGGCCTTAATTAAACTTCCTCATTACACAACAGGACTTGAATTCAAGCATTTGTTTTGGCCTATGTTGCTAGCCTGGAATAGGTTTTCATTAGCCTGGAAGCCAGATACTGAATTACTTTATATCACAACTAAAAAATACTGGAATTCACTTGCGATGTATTTTGCTGTTATATTTCCAAGGAGAGTAAAAAAGAGTTCAGTCCCATACAGTGGCTTCTGGAAATGTCATCTCTAGTTTGTAAAAGAAAGCCAATTGATTTCGAGTACATTCTGCTGGAGAGAAAAAAAAAAAATCTGTGGGCAAAAGGATAGTCCTGCTTCCTCTGGACACTGCTGGTGACCGGTTGTTCCTCTGGTCAGTCTCACTGAGTGATCTTCTCTCCTGTGGCACCTACACAACTTCACTCATCTTCTGGGAACTCGTATTGACACTGGCTACCCTTAAAAAGGGCTACTCTTAAAAAGTGATGCAGGTTTCACCAATTGAAACAAACAGAAGTGCAGCTTTAGCTCAGGGGCAAACAGCTTGAGCCCGAAGATGTGGGAGAGGAGCAGGTTAAATAGGGCCACAGTGTCTTGGAGGAGACCAGAGGAGGGAGTCTGCAGGGTTTCCCTGGAAGCCCAGGAAATGTTGAAAAACCACACCTCCTCCAGCAGCATAACTGAGCCTGCCTGGGAGGGAGCTCTCTCCTTTCCTTCCCAGAGGCCTGTAGATGCCTTTGCCAGGTGGAGAAGAGAGAGGCCCGAAGGTGGTAAGCAAGACTGTCCTGCCTTTACATAAGACACACACTCATATGCACAGGCCCACCGCTGTGTGGGTTAGCACAGGGCACCGCTGGAGGAATTCTCTTCTCTCCATATGCTGAAAAACAAAACAACCTCTTGCATCGCTGCTGGGTGCTCCTTATGCTATCAGATGGTTTCTTTACTTTAGGGGTCCGTGCGCATAGTTGTTTATTCTTTCTTGGTGCATTTATTTATAACCTAACTTTCTACATAAGAAAAATTTAACATATACTTTTTATGCTATAGATGTTATTTTGGCTAGAATTTTAAAAGTCATTTAGCTATTTTTTTCTCATTTAAAAAACTGGTGCTGGGACAAGTTTTGTGGGGACTATTAAAGTGTAATAATTGGTCATTTTCTTAATTTGTGTCTGGTTTTGGTTTGGGTGGGAGTGCTCACCTGCATGCAGGAGCCCCTGTGCATGCCAGGGGGGCCCTGGTGTAGGAGGGGCCTTCCCTTAATTTGAACCTTGCTCATCTGTGAAGGGATGAGCTTCACAGGCGAGATTTTCAATATGTGTGCAGATTGGAATTGACCATCAAGCGTAAAACGAGTATTATCCAGTCTGTGAAAGTCTTTCTATTGTGAATGCTCAAAATAATCTCGCTGAAATCTAAATCATGGTCTGATTTCCAGTTGACTTCTGGGCACAGGTAGGTCCTTGTCCCTTGTAAGTGCCCCCCATGAGTAGCGACGGACCCTCCTTCCTGGAGTCCACCCCTGGCACAGCAACGTCCCACCGTTGTCAGGTTGTTCATGCATCACATTCCTCATCTGTAAAATGGGGAACTGGACGATGTCTGAATCCCTTGAAGTGCCTAGAGGTGGAGATTCCACAGGATTTTTAAATTCCAGCAAAACTGGATTTTTAGATTGGTAATGTTCAGGGCACCCTTGTCAGGGACTTTCTGTGCACCGTGAGAGTTGGCGTGGGTTTAGAGACGGGCATATCGACTTATCTCACCTGCCCGTGTGCTGTGTGTGCCTGCGTTTTTCAAGGAACATGGATTATTCAAGGTAGTCTGAATTCCTCACCCTCTCATGTCATGATTTCAACATGGAAATGAAGTGAGAAGATTGCAGGGGACAGAACCTGATATTCTAGAAACTCAAAAGATTTATTTGTCAAAAGAATGAACAGTTAAATGACTGCATATTATTTAAGTGCTTTTCATGTAGCATGCCTTTTACTCCTCAACATTGCCACAGTCGATGTTATCCTTTTTTAAAATTAAAGCCAGAGAGGGCAACATTCTAGCTAAGGCAGGTGAGAAGCCATGGGGCCAGGTTTGGACCAGGCACCTCTGCCGCAGCACCTGTGCTGGCTCCCCTGCCTGTTGATGACAGGCCTTCAGAAAGGTTAGGAAGCGAAGTCATGTGTTTTAAATTAAATATGTGAACTCTGACCTCAGACAGAAATGTCTTATCCTGGTAGAAGAAACTCGTAAGACTATGCCTCCAGCAGCGTGATTCTCCCAGTATAAAGCAGCCACACTCACCTGTTCCTGGCCTGGGAGGGGTCGTCTCATTCCTGTCCTAGTGTAGTTTGCCACATGCATGTTCCCCCTCCCCCTCGCCAGCAGCGGGTACTGGTCTTGCCCCTCAGCCCATATTAAAGACTTGGTCTGTGTGGTTGGGGCTCCCCACACTGGCTGCTGGGCCCTTTGCCTAATGGTGGGGGAATCGTTTTAGAACCTCAGTGGCCTTCATGGCGTTGATAATGGTCATGGCTTTGGCCCCTATTTTGACCATTGTAGACTCTTTCCCACCACAGAAATCTTGTAGCTGATGGTGTAGGACTCAGGGGAGGTAGTCTCCAAAACCCTCTGCAACCCTGCTGGTATTGTCACAGATAGTACATGTTCCAGTGGCTTACTCTAACCATGTTTCACTTACACTTTATAGATTGTTCGTTGTGAGAACCAGGCTTTTTCCCCAGTATGGGAGCCAGCCAAATCCTGATGGTCGATGACTTCATCTCTTCCTTTTTTCCCCCAGTTAAAGAGTTCTCGTCAAGAATAGGACTTATTTTCTGGAATATAACTTCATTTTTTGTGGAGTGGGGCCCACCTCACCTTTTTTGTCCTTTCTGGGGTCTTGGAGGAGATAGGCTCAGAGACTTCTGTTTCTTTTTTTTACTAATAAGATAAGGTCTATTCGAATAAAAATTAAAAAGCAAAGCAAGAAAAATAAAAGCCAGAGGCCTGGCTCAGCGGCAAGTGGGCTTGTCACGTATTAATTTTTCATTGCTGTGGAGAGTTGTACATACATAATCACTTGATTGCAGTGGGAGTTAGGGAGCTCCTATGGTGTCATTTGCATAAATCTTGTTAAGTCAATGGCAGTTAATGAAGTACAAATGAGCCCGGAGAAGGTGACATGCAAATCGTGGGTGGCAGATGGGAGGTCTGTTTGGGGGACGGCAGCTGTGTGCTCTCCTTTCTTTCTTTCTCTAGCATTTTTTAATCTCTATATTTGAGTACAGATATCCAGCCACAAGCCTTGGCCTCCACCCACTTTGCGGGCTCCTGGCCAGAGCCTGGCCACCTCCTCCTGCCCCGGTGCTCACGCTGCGAAACCTCACCACACACTTACTCTAGTATGCAATAGAAGATATATGAATTTTTTTAAAAATCTTGATCAGTTTAGCTTGTCATAAATACACAGTTGAAAAATATTTTTTTATTTGGTGGGGACAAACAAAAAGCCCTCCTAAGTCTTTTGACAGTATGTCATCTTGGGAAGTTTCAGGAGTAAAGAGTTAAAACACTGTCTTTGTTTTATTGTGCTTCTGCTTGTGAGTCTTGTCTCCCCTCCTCAGACTGGCCAACTGTATTTAGCTGTTACTCCCCATCCCGGGTGCATGGTTGGACCAGAAGGGAGCTGGCCCTCCTGGGGCTGGTGAGGAGTGAGAACTGCAGAAAGCACGTTGGCTCGCCACGTATGTGAGGCTGAAGCGAAGACCCCTTCCTGTGGTGCACACCCCTCAGGAGGGTCCCCACAGGCCTGGCTCAGCTTTGGCTGGGGTTTCCCTTGCTCATCATTTGTGTTTAAGGATTTAAGTGCTGGCAGGACCCACAGCGAGCTCTTTAGAGATTCATAGGGAAAACACTGCACCCCCCTATGGCTTTTGGAAATTTTTGTTTATTCGATCAACTGGTTGATATTTTGAGAGAAACAAGTTTGTGTTTCCATTGAAGGCATGTAGGCAAAGAGGTGTGTGTAGGGACAGTGAGCCCTGGTGACGTCCACGATGGTGCTGCACTGAGGGTCGCCATCTTCTCATGAGCCACCCACTCCATTGGGCTCCTGTGCCGCGGATGTCAGCAAGGCAGTACCTCACCTTGGGGCTTCAGGGTGCCACTGGAGACCTCCGATCAGGTGTGCTTACTTTTGCAATGCTCGATGGAAACACCAAAGGAACAAAGTTGCTTCATAAAACTTTGGTGAAAGTCTTAATTTTGACCTTGAACCCAGATGTCATGGTCATCTCTAGAGTACAGAGTCACACCATGAGAGTGGTTATTTTCCAGCAGCCATCTGAAGCCATGAAACCCTCCCCGAGCTGTCATAGGAAGAGTGGCCTGACTGGAGCGCCCCGGTGCACCCACCATTGGGCTGTGAACTGTTTTGAAG